ACATGTCGTAAATGTTCCACATGTAAATCGAGTACTCGATACCACATGTAAAATGATATTTTAATCTTTTAATTATCTTATATTGTGATTGACGGCCAATTTTAATATATTTTTAATACTATTTAAATAAATCACAATATAACGCACCTACAATATCTTAATACTTAATTTTAAAAGTATGTTAATGTTCAGTTATAGATTTGTATTATATTTAATATGGGGACTTTCCCCCTTACATATTTTCTAGATGTAGAGGTGCTAGTATTCAAATATGCCAGACTTCTGAAGACTGAGTAGAAGACAGACATGTAGAGGAATAATATTCTCACAATAAAGCATTTACCTTGCCAATCCTGAAAATTTATGTACAGCTTTAGGACCGGCCAGGAAAGCTGCCTCAGCCAATTCTGCAAACCCTAATGATGGAACTTGTGTTCGCCTGCATATTACATGTGAACATTTAACCTACAAAATAAAAAAATACAGTCTTTTATAAGAAATCAAACCAAAAATAGAAAGGTTCAAAATCGAATGTATAATTCATGTATAGATTTTATAAATTGTTGTTGTAAGTCACATTCTTTTGCTGCGAAAGTTCTCTGTCCGAAAGAAATGGGCCTCATTTGCTTAATGAGATCTTCAGCGTATTATCACATATGTAGTGTTTCTGTTTCTAAAACATTTCACTGTCAACTGATAATTCCAATAATCTCAATCAGCTTCAACTTGCAAATTTATTTTACTGGTTTTGAGAAATTTCATTTTCCAGAAGCAACATTATCTAGGGGGAAGAAAAAAGATTCCCATACACCATATCAAATATGTGTAGGTTATAGAGGTAAAAATTCTGTGCATTCTTAAATTCTGATCTGCTTACTTTGAAGTGATCAACTCGATACTGCAGTTGCCTTCACACATTGGGACAGTCCCTGCTGCCTTTGTGGCAGAAGGTTTAGCCATATTGGAGAAAAGCCCAAACACGTCTCCTAGGAGACAAACTGTGACTCTCCATTTCAACAGTTTGTTGCTTTCCTTTAGTGTTATATTCTAGTATTAACTGATATCAATAAAAATGTAATAAGAGGATACATGTACACCATAACCTTCTCCTGGATTCAGCTGTATAAGAAATCCTAACCAATAAAATAAAATAATTTAGTTTGTATTTTAATTTTCTTGTCTCAACGGCCATCTTGTTTACCTGTCTCTCTTTCCTACAGTGACCTTTGCTTTAGCAAGCTTCTTTAATCCTGAAGAAAGCATAATACTTACCAGAATATGTACGCAATATGTACAGATGAATCCAATAGCAAAAGTAGCTACTACACCAAATGTCAGACCAGCATTCTTGAAGGCCATTGGCATAGCCAAAATTCCAGATCCTAAGCTCCCTTTAAGTAGATGGATTAAGGTATCTAGATCGCTATAAACAGAGAAAAAGAATAAATATTTAAATGTAATGTGATACATGAGTATTAAATTCAGATTAACCTCTACTGACCATGTGTCACAACCAATGTGCAGTCCAGTTTGTTGTGCATCACAGTAGCATATTACTATCATTAACCTCAAAGTTAGGTCTGACTGTCAGCCCTGGATTTAAACCAACTATTCCCATAAAATACAAGTTCAGCTTCATTTTGCATTATGTTTTATTCCTTCCAGGAAATATATTAAAATTCCAGTGCATATTAACTGACTGAAAAGACATGGAAGACAAATTGGATCCTTAAGTAGGAATGGTGTTATTTGTCTTTGTAATGACAATTTTGACAAATTCATTTCTTAATATTAATTTGTAGTTTCTCTTTGAAATAGGCCATCCATTTTATAGCAAGTCAAATTCTTAATGAAAACACAAGCTAACTGACAGAGAAATATATTTATATGACCTGTGAACTGTAGCTTACCTGGTGGGGTGCGACAGGTTGCGATGTTCAAATGGGTTGTAACCAGCCTCTTCATCAAGGGCTGGTTTATCAACCAGTGGTGTTGTAGAACCAGCAACAGCAGTGATGGGAACTCCATTTTTCTCACATTTATATCTATAATTAATTTAAATCAGTAATGTAAATTATACTTCATTGAAGTATTATCATTCATAATATTTTTTTTCTGACAAGTTCATTTTTTTCCATAATTAAATATGGATTTTATCAGTAAACCTGAAAGAAAGAAATAATTTAAACATGCATGGAAATAAAATATTAAAATGAAACTTAAATAAATATGTTGTAAGGGTGTTTACTGAATTCATGTGTCTCAGAACAGAGGTTAGTGGTGTGCTTTTGTGAACACAATAATGAATCATCAGGTTTCTTCTCAAGAATGACAAAAATTATAAATTTCCCAAATCTCAAAAGAGGCTTTAACTCTTAAAGGCTCGATCACAATTATACATAACACCTACTTCGACGATCAATAACTCTGCATTTTGTCAAAAGAGTGTACTTATTTATTTCATATAATTCTCAAAACAAATTCTCAGAAGAAACATCTGTTATTCCCTTAAACAGTATTAACCAAATGATCTTTGTAAGAAAAATTTGTTGTGTTTTCTTTGAGGTAAGAAATTAATTTTTAATAGTATTTACATGAGTTTGGGGTTTCAAGAGAGAAAGCTAACTGTCGCATGCATCTTTTGTACCTGCGTGTCATAAATTATCCAGTTCATGATACATCAATTTTATATTATGCCATTAAACTTTTTGAGAAGCAAGAATTATTAACAATTTAGAATAACAATCTCAAGATGATGATATGTTGCTCTACTAAGCACACAAATGATAAACGGGATTGGTTTCTCTTCATTTGTGTTTAGCTTGAAGCTTTCACATGACATTTTTTTACACACTTTAATCACTAATTTAACACTAACACTTACAACTTTCTTATTCATATAACACTTACTTTGTTAATACCAAATCTGCAAGTTCTGTCCGTGCAGTCCTTTTCTTGGGATCATATTCTGTCACAATTGGACGCAAGCTGGTCGCCTAGAGGCAGAATAAAACACAGCATTAAAAATCCAACACATCTTACACAGACTTTCGTCAGAAACCCAGTATGAAAATTGTTTTTCTGGCTTAAGGAAACCTGCAAATGAATTGAATCTCTGACTGTATATAACTGCGCTAATGACGGGAAAATTACAGACACTGTGTGTTTGTGTTCACTATGCACGTACTTCACTTATTATTATAGTCGATTCTACGTTCTGTGCCGTAGCCGCGTGGTCTGAGGCATCATGCTTCGGACCGGCGATACGCAATGCGCGCTGGTTCGAATCCCGGTGGGGAGAAGAAATTTTTTCATGAGCTTTCGACCAGTTTATGGGACCGGTGCCAACCCGGTGAGGAAATTGGAGAGCTACAATGAGTAGCGTAATCCGGTCATGAAAACTAGCAATGGCTGGGGATTCGTCCCTATATCTGATTGGATGATCGTCCACCTCTGCTTAGGCATGTGGACGTGAGACCAGCAGTCAAGCTAGTCGGCTTTGGCTCTCTGGAGCTGTTACGCCACGGATTTAATTTTTTAATAGTCAATTCTACTAGGAATTAAACTCACTTGTAAACTGATAGATTGACTGACTTTGAACATGAATGATTTGTGAACTCTATAGACCAAAGGATTCCTTATTCCAACCACTTCCTTATTTAACTGACAATCAAGAGCTGGGGGTCTCTTATATATACACATTACATTACTTACTGTTGAATAAATAAATTTTCTTGACCCAAAAATGTGTGCTTAACCTTAAATAATACCACATGCATAATTCATAACGATTACAGGAATATTCCAAAGTATGTAAACTGTAAACAACAGAGACAGGGCATGTTCTTGCACAAGAAGACGGTGGAAATATCCACTCAGACAGCCATGTAAGCTTCTGGTGCAGAGGTGTGTGAAATAACACCACCCCACTGGAACCAAACATAAAAATTCATAACTGTCCATAGCAATATGATTATATTATTAATAACACATTATTATTAATGAAAGTACAAAATTAAAATAAACATGATGAATTATTCTAAATAAAAAGGAATTTTTTTTTTAGTTAGAATAATTTATCATAGGCTAACAACCATGCACCGTAAAAAGGAAGATGTTTCGAAACCTCGATCAAAGCCTCGGACAGACGGACCTAACAGAGGGTCGAATGGAAGAGGAGAATTGAGGAGGCCGTGGACCGAATACGGACTGGAGAGCCATAGAAGAAGAAGAAGAAGAAGAAGAAGAAGAAGAAGAAGAAGAAGAAGAAGAAGAAGAAGAAGAAGAAGAAGAAGAAGAAGAAGAAGAAGAAGAAGAAGAAGAAGAAGAAGAAGAAGAAGAAGAAGAAGAAGAAGAAGAAGAAGAAGAAGAAGAAGAAGAAGAAGAAGAAGAAGAAGAAGAAGAAGAAGAAGAAGAAGAAGAAGAAGAAGAAGAAGAAGAAGAAGAAGAAGAAGAAGAAGAAGAAGAAGAAGAAGAAGAAGAAGAAGAAGAAGAAGAAG